CTTTTTCTAGGATGAATTCACAAACTTAATTGTCCGACCATAAATTTTTAAATGATTAAAAATGCCCATCTGAAAACAATCAAGGCCAGGATGGCTCAGGAAGAACCTATGACCTTCCCCCTTACTGCCTAAAAGAATTCAGACAAAGGGTTTGCTCCAGGAAGGAAGCTGCCCATCATAAAACGACTATATTTTAATATGAACTAGGAGTGACTGACAGGGAGGAACTTAGCAAGGGCCATGTGATCAAAGTCCTCTATTGTCCCACTGTTTCAATATGACCCAATATACATTAATATAAACTTGTTTACTAGACAATAACTCTTTTCATCTCCCTGTGAATTGCCTTACTTCCACCTCCTAAATTGTGAAGGACAGATATACCTCATTTTGCCTAAAACTGTCTCTGGAATATTCATGCTTCAGTGAATTCTCCATAAGAACGTACTAAAACTTGATTTTCTCCTTTAGTCTGCTGTATGTCGTTTGAATTATTCAACCAGTCAGAAGAACTTTGAGGGAAATGAGGGAAAATTTATTATCCCAATATTAGGTAAATAAGAACAAATGTATGTGTAGACACAGATCAAAGGTAATTAATGCCAGGCCACCTGATTGGTAAGCAGATTGGTACGGTCATGGCCTTGTAGGCCGATACTTCTCAAACTCAAATGTGGATCTTGTTAAAAGATGGATTCTGATTCAGTATGTCTGGGATGGGCCTGGGATTCTGCATTTCTAATAAGCTCTCAGGCGATGCCTGTGCTGCTGGCCCACAGGCCACACATGAGAAAGCAATGCTGTAGACGGCACACATCCCAGAGGGACAGCGCCAGGCTACGTTCACAGTGACTACCCCTGGCGAGTGAGAGTATGGGTGTGAATTTACTTTTTACATTCCTGTGTTTATCAGATTTTCCACAATGAAAAGGTATTGCTTTTGTAATCAGAAAGAAAAAATTTTTAAGATTCAAAACCTTTTAGGATTCAGTGATTATGCTATAGGCATCTGTCCCAAATGATGTGAAATAGAATCAAAAGGTAAAATCACTGTGTCTACTCACAACACTTCTGACACCAAATGCAGGGGTTTCTCTACACCAAGCAATTCTAACACTAATGATCCAGCATTAGAACAGACCCCACAGGTTGAGGGCTCAGTCCCACAAGGCTGCTTCCCACTTCAGAGGCCAGTCACAAGTCTGTGTACTTCTACCAAATGGCTATAAATCAGGGATTCTCATGACTCTTCCCTTAGGTTCGATAATTTGCTTTAATGGCTCACAGAACTCAGGGAAACAGTTTACTGATATGGACCCTGAGAAGAAATTTATCTGCTGAGATGGACTCCCCATGGTCAACTGAGGGCACAAATTTTATAAATAACAAGAGTCTAGTGGCCATCTGCTGACAGGGGCTTCTCATGTACCAGAAGAACCTCAGACTAAAGTCTGGGCTTCCTACACTATGCCCTGCTCATTTACGCAAGCTGAGTTAACTATTATAAGGGAGTTAGTGCATGGTTATGTCTTTTGACCTATGGAGGGAGACATGCCCCATCCATTCAGAACTGCTCCATAACAACCAATCAGGATGTGCAATGCTGACCAATCAGGACTGCACAATTCAAACCAATCAGAACCTTACAAATTTGGATATCTCATTTACATAAAATGAATCTAGTTGGAGATGTGGGTGGGAACTTACTCTATAAAAAGTGGCCTTCCCTTTGTCACAGCAGAGCACATTTTTCGTTTCTGCCAGAGGCTGCGTCTCTCCAGTTTGCAAACTGTTCACATGAATAAAGTCTCTCCATTTTCTAATATTCTTTTGGGGAGTTGTTGTTGACATTTATTATAAAGAAGACAAGTCAGGAACAGCCAAACGAAGTGATGCATAAGGCAAGGTATGGGGAAGGGTGTAGAGTTTCCATGACCTGTCTGGGCACACCACCCTGCCAGCACTTCGCTGTGCTCACCAACTCAGAAGCTCTCCAAACACCACTGTTTAGGTTTTTATGCAGCCTTCATTATATAGGCATGGTTGATTAAATCATTGGCCATTGGTGACTGAATCCATCTTCAGCCCCTCTCCCCTCCCTGGAGGTCAGGGGGCAGGACTGCAAGTCATCTGGTTGGTTCCCCTGGCAACCAGCCCCCATCCACCAAGAAGCACCTCATTAGCATAAACTCAGGTATGGCTGAAAGAGGCTTTTATGAATAACCAGACTCTCCTCCCACCAGCTCTGTACCAGGAACCAGGGATGAAGACCAAATACATTGTATAAAAGGATAATGTATATTCAACTTAGAATGACTTACAATATCAAAAAAGAGCAAACCACTTAGTTCCCTAATATTAAGAGAAGGGCTAAAAAAGGTTGAAATAGCATGCGCTTATTACAAATGGTATTTGTAAAGACATGGAAAAATGCAATGTAAATTTTAATCACTGTACGACAACTTTGTTAAAATGCTAACATGAAATGAATTAAATATTTATAAAATGCAAAAATTTTTTAAATTTATAAAAAAAAAAAGCAAAACAAAAATGGACGGAAATATGCCGAAATGTTAATATCTTTGGCTCCTAAGATGATGGCATCACAGACGATTTTTTCTCCTTCAACTTTCCAGAATAAAATAAATTGAAAAGAGGGACAGAGCCTATGCAGAATTAGGAGGCAACAGAGGCAAGGATATCAACTGAAAATGACAGAGGCAGTGGAGAGAAGCCCAGTCAAGGGCTGGTTAGAAGGCAGCAGGACTTGGGGACTTAACGGCTGGGGGAGGGGTTAGGAGTGTGGGGCTGTTGCTATCTCACTGGAATACCTGGCTGGGGGTGGAGGGGGAGAAATAAGAGAAGAAAGGCAGCGGGTTTAGTGAAGGGTCTGGTCCTGAGGCAGGAGGAGGAAGGGGTCCAAGAGACCACAGCCTCTCCTCCTTCAACTCCTGGCTGGCACTTCTATGAACAGGTCTGGGCAGGAGCTGCTCACAGGGCTGGCCTCTGCCTTGGCTGCCCGGAGGGGACTAGCTGCCCCTCCATTCAGCCTCTTGGACGACACAATGAATGCGTCCGGGGGAACACCTCAGCTATCTCTCTTTCCCTTTCCCTCCCCTGGATGCCACTGCTCCATGTGACTCCTTAGGGGCACAAGGGACCAACGCCTGTTGACTTCTCTGATAAGTAAAATGAATAGCCCATTCTTACGTTCCTGTTCCTGGGCTCATTTCTGGCCTGAACCTCAGCTCACTTTTGTACTCCTGACAGGCAGCAAAAGGCCGTAGACACAAATGCAAACAAATAAACCTGCACTATTGGTTGAAGATCAAATTCGATAGCCCTTTTTAAAGGTATTTTTTAAATGTTGTGTTAATATTAGTTATCAGCATCTTTAAACCTGCCGGTGTGCCTGTTCTACGGTTTCACCACAAATGGGGAAGTTGAACACAATACTTCCCTGTGCTTGTGTCAGGATTTCATAAAATTTTTAATAGCCCTTCACAACATTCCTAAGAGGTGTGCTTATCCTCAGCTGACAGCAGAGGCACCCGACGCACAGGACTCCACCGGCTGCGTGCCCCTGCGTCTGCCCCTATGCCCCGCTGACACCAGTCGACTCTTCCACAATAGGGTAGGGTCTGTGCCCACACGGAATGCAGGGGATTCCACCGCCTTTCCAGTCGGTATAGATCTTAATCCCCAAACAACAGAGCCAAAGCTCTGGATTCAAAGCCATGGGCTCCAGTCCAGTCCTCTTCATCAGTCCAAAGCTGTTGTTGCTTCAAACTCCCCGTGAGCATTTGTCACGGAGACCGTTTCCCTAAAGCCTGCAGGCAGCTCAGATGGGCAGCCCATGACTCACTCCGAAAATAGGGAGGTCAGAGCTGGAAAGCATTCCTACCCTACAGCTTTCCTTCTAAAGTTTTTTTTTTTTGGGGGGGGATCCCCCAATAAAGGCAAAAGTGAAGGAAGCAGGGCTCTAACAACAACAGTAACAGCTAACCCACAGCGAATCCTTATTCCATGCCAGGCACTCAAGTGCCATTTAATCCTCACAACCCTACACAGTCGGTATTACTCATTAGTACTTCCCACTGTACATGGGGGGAAACTCAGGCACAGAGTGGTTAAAAAAATACTCAAGGTTACACAGGTAGGTGGTGGAAGAACCAGAAATAACCCAGCAATCTGGCTGGGGTCCACACTCAGGGTGGTCCCTCACCTGTTTGCTCTGGCAGATAATCAATCAGCCCCATTTCCCTCGCCACCTGCCTATTTGACTAGGGAGTTAGTGATCACCTACCTGAGGGAACACGCACCCACATGCCTGAATCCCAGAGTTCTCCTTGAAAGGACCCAATCAACAGTGACCTCGCATATACAGAACGCCTCCGTCTCTAAGCTGACTTCTTTCAACAAAACAAGGTGTTGCATTGCACACCTCCTTGGCTTTGTTTTTATCATCACACTGGGGTATGCTCAAGGGGTTCAGAACCGGCCTCCCCAAGATGTGCCACTTGGGCATGGGAATTACTTTGAGCAGAAGGCAATTGAGAGCCTGTGGGCTCACCAGAAACCTCTCATGTATGTTGGCCTCTGACTCTTTCATGTAGGTGGGGTTCCCATATGTGTGTGTATAATTAAATTTGCTTATTTTCTCTTGATAATCTGTCTCATGTAGACTTAATGACTAGAACAGCTAAAAGAACCTTGAAGGGTAGAAGTCAGTTTCTTCCCAGACTGGCAGTTCTAGTGACACTTTCTCAAAGCCATTCCATAAGGTTCCATTTGTGGTATTTCCTCTTCCCTTTCTGCACCCCATTCCAGATGAGGAAATCAGGCCATCCTTGCGCCTGCATCACAGAAGGCTCTCAAAGGCTGGACTATGGGCACCTCAGTTCCTCATCCCTGCAGAGCTTTCAGGCGTGGCTATGCCCCAGCAGTGCGTAGGAGCAGACCTAAAGAGGGGTGGACAGAGAAGGAAGAGTGCCAAGTACCTTCACAAGTCCTGGGAACCCTCAGAGCAGCTACAGAGAGCCAATGCACAAGCTCAGGATCCATTTGGGCCCCAATCTCAGGCTGTGGAAAAAAAGAGGGCTTCTTGGTGCCCCACCCCCACAGGACACCCTGGGGAACTCCCAAGGTGCACCAGACCCCTCTTCTCACAGTTAGTGGTTTGCGAATTTGGAGGCATTCCTCTTCTCTGCTGCGGCTTGCCCACACATGTACTCCATTTGTGTTGTACTGCAGAAGTAGTAGCCTCTAAAGTTCCATGCAAATGAGTAAAGCTAACAGGGTGTGAGAAAAAAAATGACATACCTTGTATTTTTCTGACATGGAAGCACTGCAGAGTAAAACATAAGACTCTTCACTCCCTCGAAGGAATATGCCCTTTTCCATTTTTACTGGGACAAGAGCTGCTCAATCTCTCTCTTGTTATCCCATTTTGGATAGAAGCACCAGTAGAAAGACCTCTTACTGTAAGAGGAACAACAGTGTAAGTGCTCTAGTCCCCAGCCTCAAGGACAGGAGACACTTAGGGAGTGGTAGAGACCATGGGACCTGGAGTGCACAACCCTTCTCTAGAGAGAAGGCTGCTCCAGTACTGCCTTTGGGAATTCTTGGAGGTAGAATATTTGAAATCTCCCAATTCTCAACGTTGGTTCTGTTTTCTTTTTAACACTATGCTGGCTTGATAAAACATATCTGTTGGTTGGAGGTGGCCCACATCCCCGGTTTGTAACCAGGGCAGTCGAGTGTGGTAGAAAGATCGCTTGCCTAGAGTAAGTAACCCACTCTTGGGCGTGTAGCTCTACTGTCTGCTAACGGTGTGTGCAACAGCACAGAGGCTGGAAATATGTAAACTCTAAGATCCCACCTATTTCCATTTAAATCCCGGCTCTGCTTTCACTAGCTGCAAGACTTCACGTGAACTATTAGCCACGCTTAGCTACAATCCCATCTGCAAAATGGGCTTACAATACCCAACTTAGAGACATTTGTGAAAATTAAAAATGTGAAGACTACTATGAACTCTCAACAATGTTAAATTTCCTTCCCCATGTCTCTAAAGAAATGACTTGGCAAGTCTTTCCTATTTTCTTTAGATTTCAATGTTCCAATCTGTTAAAAGCTAAAACAATCCTTCAGCTCTGCTGCTCCAGCTCACAGGATGGGATGAAGTGAGGTGGACAAAAGCAGAGAGAGCATTTACAAGCCAGAAAAGTTACTGACTTGATTGCCAACACGCTTTCCTCTCATTTTAGGCCAACAAAGCAGTAATTTGCTTTTCTAATGTGTTCATACCCTTAAATAACATGATGGAGGGAGAAGATGGTATCACACTTATGGTAATTCCTTAAAACGGCTATTAGCAACCAACTCTCCAGAGTCCAATTCCACCATCCTCACACAGAGGAGGGCAAACATTGTTAGGTCACTGCTAGGTCACATAAGGACCAGGAAAGTTTCTTTTCTGACTCTATGCTCTCATTTCAGAGAACTGAGGCAGAAAAAAAAAGTCACTTAACAGGTGCATATTTCCTTTATTCACACAAAGAAAACTGACCCACAAGCTAAACAATTTCACTTAAGTACCATCATGAATTCACGGTGGTACTTCCCAACTGTACAGGGACTTTTGTTGGTTCTCTCATTTTCCGATTCACTGAGAGAAAACTGGGGCGTGCTTTGGTGTCTCCTCCACTGAATCCTTAAAACACCTTTACGACTTTCTTTTACACAAGCAAATGTGCACTAGGCAAGGTCTAGGCTGAGAGACTTCAACTTTCAACTGTCACAGACAGCACAGCATTCACTTGGCTTGTTTTCTCTTGCAAGCAAAGAGGCATTTAAATCAGTTCCACCGAAGCTACTAAGAAACATGGCTTTATCGTTCAGCAGTGTAACTCCCTTTCCTTCCTCTGCTGAACTTTAATAGCTCCCTCAAACAATCATCACTCTTCCAAATTACTAATCAAGCATGACAGAACAAGTGGGAATTGTATGAAAAATCTGGGGGACGGGGGTGAGCAAGCAGGATGCATACAGTGTAGATGTTACTACCTATATCTCTCTTCTTCAAAGCAGGGTTCTTGGAAAGGAAAAGAACAGCACAGAATTTTTTTAGGAGTCAGTTCTTTGCTAAGTATGTACATGTCATGATGCCTGAAACAAACAAGGACATAAAAAAGACAGCGCACACAGATGAGATCTCTTTCAGGTAATAAGTGGATTTCCACTCACCTTGTGATTGGTTTTATACTATACACTTTTTATTGATGTATACAATGCTTCCAGAAATGTACACAAATTCTACGTGTATATGGATGTGTTCACTACTCTGAGCTCTGTTTTTTCATACGCATGGCTTGTAAAGGATTTGGGCAGTTCAGAAAAACTGCTAACACATGTTAAACAACCTGTCCGTTTGGAGACAACTCAACCCTCAGGCTTGCTAATGCCCTTTGTATAAAAAAAAAAAAAGCTGACCCAGCAACCACCTGCATCAACTTGATCCGCTCAGCTTTGTCACACTCAGCAAACACCCTATGCTTTCTGAGCAAAATAAAGCGACACGCCATGGGGGAGAAAAAGACGGCTTTCTCTGAGTCTGGAGAGGCAGTCTTTACACTCCATTTACAAAGGGTGAGGGTCTGTGGTTGGCCTTGAATCTAGAATCACTAGCAGTGCCTTCCAAACCCACCTTTTGCAAAAAAGCTTCACAGATGGTGGTGGTACTTTTAAAAGAAAATGCCAAACACACAGCAGTAGAGACAACATTGTAAGGAATTTCATACCCCATACCCTTCATCCAGCTTCAACTATTAACAACTCATGGCCAATCTTCTTTCATCTAGTTCACCCTCACTTCTCCACTAGCAGTGCTCCCCAAAACCGGATTATTTTGAGGCAAATCCTCAACCTGTATTACAATTTCAGTATGTATTTCTAAAAGATAAGGATTTTTTTTAAAGTGTAATTTAGGATACCATTACCTAAAGTAACTAAACAAAACTAATATCCTTAATGCTATCAAATAGCCAGTACAAATTTTCTCTGTTGACTCAATGTTTAGAAAACTTTTGTCATCATATCAGGATCCAACCAAGGCTCACACATTGTATTGCCCTGTTATGCGTCTTAAACAGATTTTAAACCACAGGTTCCAGGTCTCCGCGATTCTCATAGCATCAGGCTGGTCCCCACTGGCAATTCTCAGTAATTCTATTCTGATATATACAGAGGGTGCCAAAAAATGTATACACATTTTAAGAAAGGAAAACACTGTATTAAAATTGTAATACTCAATATATACCGATAACAAAAGATGAATACAAGTATATACATTTTTTTGGCACCCCCGGTACATATCAGTCATTTTAATAATTAAAGAAGTTAAAAAAAATCTGAAAAGCACAAGCAAAACGATTTCACTTGAAGCAATTAGTGATTCTGAGAGCCATTCATTCACGTCCTTTGCAGTTGTGATGTGTGGATTTATCTGTGGGGTGTGAGAAACACTCCCAAGCCCCTTACCTAAGTCATTCGGGTGGAGCGAAGCGAGCATTTCCTCCCAGCCAGACTTTCCCCCTGCGGCCCGGTCCTCCCGGTCGCCTCCGGAATGCGGGGGCCGGGTCCTGCCTCCACCTACCAAGACCACAAACCCAAGTGAGAAAAAGAGCTTCAGCCAACGAGTTCCAGAGGGCGGCCCCAGGTTATCTGGAGAGAATTTCGAACCAGCCCAGTCTGGTCATAGAGGAATCAACCAGGGCGCCATGGTCTCCAAAAACAAACAGCTTTGCAAAGCCCTGGGGCTTAATCCCACAGCCCGGCGAGCGCGGGGGCAGAGTCCCCAACTTCCCAAGACCAGAGAAGAGAGGGCGCAAAGTCCGACCCCAATGAATACATGGGCGTGTGTGTAGGTGACTGTATACACTCACCGCTACGTCCCAGAAAGGAGAGTGAAAATTACATACACCTATTTCTAAAACATCACCTGTTCTTATAATGTTTAAGAGCTATCATCCCTGGAAACAGCGACTGCGAGTGTCTGGGTGCGATTGTACTCCCAACCCAGACCATTAGATTCCATCCCCGGGCCCCCGGGGCCCAAGCCCACGACAGCCCCAGGCGCGAAGGCTACACGAAAACCCCAAGACCAAATGCTCAGGCTCGGGCGCCTGTGGCTTTCAGTCAAGCGGCCCCCCAACCCCCCACCCCCCACGCACCACCACATCACACATACACACCAGGACCACTTAAGTGGTAGAGAAACCTCAGCCTCTGAATCCCTGGAAGGGAAATTCCTCTCCCCCGACGCGCAGAGCGCCCATCAGGGAAGCGGGGGGCCGAGCGGGTGCCGTTGACCACCGGGACCCGGGACCGAGAGGCAGCGGGCGTGAGCTCCCCGCACTCACCCGAGGCGCGGCAGCTCCCGGCTCGTGGTCCGCGTCCCACACGCTGGGGGCCCCGCCAGACAAGCGACGAAGTGGCCGCACGGGCACCTGCTACTCTCCGCCCCAGGTGACCGCCGAGGGAGGGGCAGGAGCCAGCACGGCCGCCCCGCCCCGCCCCGCCCCGCGCGCTCCCGGGACACGGGGCGGGGGCGGCGAACGCGGCCTCCAGGACCCCGCGGCGACCCCGGCCGCGGATGCGCTCGCCCCGACCAGGAAGTGCGGGCGTGGGCGGTGGGCCGCCTTGGAGCGCGCACGCCCCTTCGCGACCCCGGCGGAAGATCGGCCGGAGGGCGCCGCCTGTGGGCAGTGCGGCGAAACCCGACGAAACCGCCCCTGGCCACCGCCAAGGTGCGGGGTGCAGAGTGACAGTCTCAGCTCGGCGCTCGCTGAGACTCCCTTCCACGTGCCAGGCCTTGAAGTCCCAACCCATGGCCCAAGGAGCTTCCGTCGCCCCAGCCGGGTGGTCAGGGAGGCCATTGGCAGTTGTCTCTAGGTTGGGATATACAGAGGGACAGAACTTAGAAAAAACGTTTATGCCACTAAGCAACTGCCTGTAGTGTACTGTGAATTCAGATTTTTAAATAAAAATCTGCAAATAGCACACTTACGTTGCATTATTTTGGGGGGTCAACAGTGCTGATTTGATATTCAACAGGTATATGTTGAGTACCTAGGAGTGGCCATTTAAACATTTAAAATAGGGCGCAATTTCCTCCTTCTTTTCTTGTAGAGTTGAACAAGGGGAGTGGCCTGAGCCTGAATTTCCCAGAGAACCTGGACTCGCCTTACAAGGAACTTAGTAAAGGCCCGTCCGAGGGTGCAGTAAGAACCGCGATGAGATTAAGCACGGGCTGCGAGGGCAACTGAGGAAGACTCTAGGGAGGTTCAAAGAGGAATTCCTGGAGAAGGGGAGAGGTGAGCTGAGACAGGAACGACTACAGGATTCATAAGGATGCGAGTTGTTTCAGCCGCGAGTCCACTGTGAGCAAAGCCAGAAGCAGAAAGGTGCGCATGTTTCGACAGCATAATGACGAGTGAATATAGCTGAGAAGGAGAGGATACAGCTGAATGAGAGGAGAGGGTGTAGGGTTCAGATCACGCACCTATCAAAACTAACAGCTGCCATCTATGGAGTGTCTTGTATGAAACAGAAGCTGGCCATGCATCACTTCAACCTAGGCTCACACCAACTCTACAAGGTAGGTAGGGTTTTCTCCACTTTACAGAAGAGGAAAACGAGGACTAGAAAGGTGAGGTGCCTCGCCAGTGACAGGGCTGGGAGGAGTTGTCTCTGAGGAGCCAGCCTGCACTCTTAATGCCTCTTTCCAGGCCAATCCAGGAGGCTGAATTTGTCATCAAATGCTCCCAGCATCCCCACGTATTCCCCCAATACCTACTGCCCTCCCTCCATTCCCAAAGCCTGTGTCAATAACTGCCCTCAGACCCCTCCTATCTAGATTAGGTAGTACCTATGACTGCACATCGGGCTCCTTCCCAAGGGGAATGCTGTCTCGGGCTGGTAGAGGGACTGTGGCAGAGCCCCTGGTTGTTCCCCAATACCCATTCTCTCCTTTCATAATAACAGAATTGAAGCTGAGCCCGGGGCTGCTTAGAACAAAGACTACATTTCCCTGCCTCTCCTGAAGCAAAATTCATCAGCAGTGGTGCCCAGAGCCCCTAGAATCCACTTGATCCCATAGCACTTCTGAGGCAGCTGTTCCTTCCCCAACATCCTTGATCTGTCAGATATTCTTCATGGGACAGACATTGCTTACTGCCTCTTCATTATCCATCCCGGCTTCCTCCTTCTCAGGAGAACTCGGATTTTGCTCAGGGAGGCAATGTGCTGCACTAAAATTTTCACCTTCCCAGATGTCCTTGCAGGGTAGTCACATGACTCAATTCTGGCTAGTGAGATGTAGGAGGAAGTCGCCTAAAGGGTCCTGAGAAGCTTTTTGCTTTCCGGATGCAGACACCACCACCCTTTCTCCTGTTGTCTTGTGATTGTGAGGTTGTGAGGCTGTGAGGTTGGAGAGGGAGCAGCCATTTTATGACCAAAGGGCGACACTAAAGAGAAAAGGGGCAGCTCGTACTCAAACTACCTAGCTACAGACATCTTATTACATGAGAAAAAGCCCCTTACTTGTTTAAAGCACCCCTGGTCAGGGTTTGTTACAAGCAATTGAGTGCAATTCTAATGGATACACTATTCTTTCCAAAGAAAAGCCTCAAAATTCAATCTAACCAACCCTACCAAATGCAAAGTGTTATAGCAGAAAGAGGGTGGGTTTTGGCATGAGACAATCTGAGTAAGAGTTTCAGCTCTTCCATATTTTTAGCTAATGACCTTGGGTAAATTTGTAAAACTAGATTATGTTAAAATTAGAAGTTGTCATAAAAACATAAGGAACGGTGCCTGGCATATGGTGAGTGATTAATAAATGATCATTGAGATAATTCTCATCTAAATGGATATCCGGCCAATATGTAGAGACAGAATAGCATATCCACTTCCCAGTTTCACCCCTGAGACAAATCTTTTTTGCATATTCAGATCTTAGATGATTGGTAACAGCAAAGTCAGTCTTAAAGTTTCACCAAAACCACAACTCACCTAGTCTCATTTCCTCATTTTCTAGTCTATATCTACACTACCAAAATTTTTTAAAAAGAACAGAAGCCCATGCTTTGTAATGATTAGTCATGAATTACTGACACACTAGTTTAACAGGTACAGATGCATATTTCTGTGTGACCCTGTTTTTTAAATAAGAAACTATAATTTCAATACTTCTGGGTTTGTATTTTTAACCACACAAGATGTTTTAATGTTCAAGAAACATGCTTTTCTTGAAACTTCAACATATCCCTCTATGCTAAAATTGACTAGCATTAAAAGTTAATGTTATTTGCTTAATTTTTAATTTAAAAAATAATACATGCTTTCAATCACTACAGAAAATTTTAAGGTAAAAAAAAAAAAGTAACATATTTTTTTCGACCTGCATTCTGTTAATGGGTATTTAGGTGATTTCTAGCTTCTCTCAATTACAAATGATATTGCCTTGGACATCATTGTCCCTACAGTTTCGTCCATTCACATAAGCTGACCACTTCACTGCTTCCCACCCCTGGTTCAAGCCATCATCCATCTCTTTTTTTTTTTTAAGATTTTATTGGGGGAATTGGGGGAGGGGAACAGCACTGGAGAATCCGGGAAGGGGAACAGACAGGTAGACAAATTGCTGTTTTGTTCTTCAGTCTAGTTTTTGAGGATGTCGCTTCACTGGCCCATGTTGGCATGACCATTGTGGTCTTCCTGGTTGAGGCAATTGGTCGCCGGTCATTGGTCGGCCGCTCACGGCAGCTCTCGACCGCTGCCAGCTGCTCACGCTGGCTGCCAGCCGCTCACGCTGGCTGCCAGCCCCTCATGTAGCTCACAGCAGCCCACTGTAACCCCGCTGCAGCCTACGCCATGGCCAGCGACCCACAGCAGCCCAGCTCCAGGTCGAGCTATTGTTCACCATCTTAGCTGTAGAGGACGCAGAGTCACTGGCCCTCAATGTGGGATCCGAACCGCGGCCCTGCTGCTCAGAGCTGGCGCTCCCAAGTGAGCACCTACCCAGCTGAGCCACTTGACTGGCCCCATCATCTATCTCTTGACTGGATTGTTGGAACAGCCTCCTGAATGGTTCCCTGTATTTGCTCTTGCCCTGACTCAACCTATATGCAACTCAGCAGCTGGAATAGTCATGTTAAAATGTGAAATATTATCCCTCTCTGCTCAGAATTTTCCAGGGGCTTCCCTCTCATTCAGAGTAAAACTCTGGCCTATAAAGCAATATTGTCTGCCCCCATGGCTATTACCTCTCTGAACCATCTCCTTCCATACTTCATTCTCTGCTCCAACCACACTAGCTTCTTTGCTGTTGTTTTATTGTGCCAGGTAGGCTTCTGCCTCAGGACCTTTGCACCTGTTATCTCCTTTTTTTTTTAATCTCTTATTCCAAATACCACATAACTTAATCCTTCACCTCTTTCAGATCTTTACTCACATAAGAGTCTTTCCTGACCACTGATCTCAAATTGCAAAGTGCCTGATACCTCCTGACCCCCGTCCTTGCTTTTTCCTTTTCTCTTAGCACTTTTCACCTTCCAACACGCTGTCTTTTAAATGTTTACCTTTGTTACTGTTTTCTGTCTGCCCTTCCAGCGCAAGAGGGTAAGGTATTTTATTTTTAAGAGTAGAGAATTTTGTTTGTTTTGCTCATTGCAGTATCTCCAGCACCTACCTAGCACAGTGGTCAGTAAATATTTGTTGAGTGAATAAGGGTGTGTTTAAATATGTAAGCTAAATTCCTAGAAGTACAATTTCTGGGTCACAGAAATTTATGTTTCAAATTTTAATTAACTCTGCCAAACTGCCCTTTTAAGAGGTTAGAACAACATTCCTACCAACTCTGTATGAGCATCAGTTTCCTCTCACACCACCACTTTGCCCGCATGTATTGTCGTTCTTAAATTTTATTTGAACGGTTCATCAGTCAGAGTCTTAATGACAACAGACTCTACTGTGGCTAATATAAGAAAAAGAAAATTGTTTTTGTTTTAAAGGGAAGACCACAGACTCTCTGGGCAGATCAGAGAGCTAGGCGTGCTTCTACAGACAGGACTAGTGCCCAAACCATGCCTTGATGGCTGCTTCACCAACGCCCCACCACTGGTGGCTCTGGGCCCAGGAGCCCAGCATGCCCTCCTAGACCACCTGATTGGTTGTTTACATTGACACACATTCTGCTCTGTAATAACTCTTGCTATTGTTTGCCTTAGTTTGATATTTAAATGGATTCTTTGCTCACCAACAGTCAATTAAAGCAATGTCTTTCCCATTCTTGAATTCTTTACCTTGAACTGTCTTTTGATTGTCTGGATTTTGCAAGTAACTTCCAAGAAGGGTTGATGGGTACCACTGGGTTATCTCTCCTCATTTCTATCGTCTCTAATCATTGTCTTGTCTTTTCTTTACCTCTGCCTTTATATTTTCTCAAGCCCATCTTCCAAGTCATTGATTTTTTTCCCCCAGACACGTTTATACTTCTTCCTGCTTGTATTGTGATTTTCATTTCCCAAATGGTTTCAATGTTACATTTCAAGTCTTTTCTGGTTGACGCCATTTTACTTCATCTTCCTCTCTGTCCTGTCATATCTCCCCCTGAAGCTCTTTTGCAATGAATCATTCATAAGTTCTTGTTAAACTCTTTGACAGTGAAATATTTTTCTTAAAT